ACCTGAATAAAGTCTGTAGTTTAATTCTAAAAAACAAACAGAACCAAATATTCCTGGGCTTCACTACTCCTCTGATACTGCTTCAGTCTATCTGAGAAATCTGTATATTCTAGTGAAAGCTCAGCAGTGAATCCAGTGACCAGACTCGGAAGTCAGTGTCCTTGAGAATCACGTCTCATCTCAGGCTACACATAAGTCACATCATATACTTGAGTAATCCTGACTACCAGGCCCTGCCCTATCCCCCAAGCATAGACTTATAGGTACAGGCACTTTTGTAATCCCCCACGTGACACCAAAATATCAACGTATTTCAAGATGTCAGAAGACTAGTAGTCAGACGGATTGATTCCTAGACTCCTCTTGTTTTCACTGAAGGCACCTTTCCTGCCTCACTGTCCCTGAAGGAATTACTTTTTCCAACATGATTTCAATTTCATGACTGAATATCAGTCTATAATGGCTATAGTTTCATGCTTTGTTAGAATATAAGAGAAATAAAGGTAAGAAATGACTGTTATAATTTCAGCTATGCCCCTTGACCTAGCTAGAGATAGCCTCTTTTATTTACAGTTCAAGTACAGGTCAGGTAAATCTGTACATGCGATAACATTCTAGGGATGTTACACAACTCTCTATATTTTCCCGGGTCTCACTTTAAGGAGGTTTCTAATGAAGGTCCTTCCCACAGAGATAGGAAGTAATATTAAGATAGTATACCAAAGGTACACACAGTGTTCTACACATGATTAGAGTTAAAAAGATTCCCCTGATAACTATTTTACTTTCAATGAGATTTTTTAAAAAATGGCAACACGCAAAACTATTTACTCATGAATGTATGTCTATAATTTTTCTCCAGAACTGGCTTGGTTTTGAATATTTAATATCTAAGATATGAATGTTACTCAAATGATCTAAAAAAAAATCAGTGTTTTCTTAGAGAAGTGAGATTTTTATTTAGACCCTTCAGAGTCACGTTCAACTCCTCTAGACCAGGCCAGTAGCCTGACTTCTTGTGACATAACAAGGCACATTGATGGGGTCATGGGACACAAAGCTGACTAACCCACACTTGGATCACATCACAACACTGGGCTCACGCTGGCACTCTTAACCACCTCAGTGAAAGAGCTCAGCAAACTGCAAGTATGCAGTAAGGACCAAATAACTAGGGCAAACAAAAAGCAGTAGTAATTATATGGCCATTTGCTGGAAATCTCTCCAGCTGTGTTATTTACAAACCTAGAGCAGCAAATAATTCAGACACATTAGTAAATGCAAATAAAAAAATTAGGGGCTAGGGTAGATATCGTTCACTGGTAGAGTGCTTACCTAGCATGTGTGAGATGTGTGAGACCTTGGGTTCAATCAATAGTACCACCCCCCCACCAAAAAAAAAAAAGAAAAAGAAAAAGAAAAGAAAGCATCTACTGCAATCAATTGCAACAAAATAAATATTTGTTGAATGAAGAGAATTTTGCTTTTCAAATTAATAGGTGTAGCCAGGTGCAGGGGTACACATCTAATTTAATCCCAGTTACTCAGGAGGTTGAGACAGGAAGATTCAAAGTTTGAGGCCAGTCCCAGCAATTTAGGGAAACCCTGTCTCAAAACAATAAAAAGGAATGGAACTGTTGCTTGATGGTAGAGCACCCCTGGGGTCAATCTCCAGTATATCCATACCTCTCTCTCCAAGGATTTAGCCATACACTATATGGTCCTCTGGAGGCAACTGTATGCATGCATTAATTGTAAGCTATCTCTAATTTTTTCCTTAATAAAAATAAATGAGAGCACACATTTAAAAATGAATAATAATTTTCAAACAGTGTAAATGTATTCATGGCCACACTTCCAAAACTACTCTTCTTCAAATTCCTGAGTTCCTTTGTGGATCAGTTTTAAAAGAACTTAACTCCTCAAAACTGCCTAATTAGTGATATCCCAATCTTGTGCTACTCCAGTCCCAATATGTCCTCTTAGCTAGAGATACTACCAAAGCACACTTGTGTGTTTTGTAATCTCTTCTCAAATACAGGAACCTTTGCAGGGATTAGGGAGTCAGCACCCACCCACAGCTAGGTGACCAAAGGATAAACACCTAGTATTCCTCTTAAGTGTAAGGGAGCTGGGGAAGGAAGAGGAAAGGCATAATTCAAAGCTCATCATGGATGTTAGCTGGGAAGAATAGAAGCTAAAAGATACTTTTGCAAATAGAAACCTGAAAATGTTTATCTCAAAAATTTTTGTGAAACTTTCTCTTATCCAGGAAAGGAGGAAGAAATTCTTACCTTAGTCCCTTGCTTCCTCCTTGTTCTAGGACTTAGAACTCTGGTTAGTAGAGTTCTTTGGTTAATTACAAGACTGTTAAGTTTAACAGTATTACTTGTGAAGAAATGAAAAGCTCAATTAAGTGTTTAATTATTTTTGTGGACATTGCCATGCTAGCCTCAAGAAACATGATTTGTTTTGTCTGTTCACCTAATGCTGTGTCATAATTTCTGGCAGCAACAAGCAATGACAATGCGCTAAGGCTGAGGCTTCCTCACCCTACCAAAGCCCAGGTGGACTCACAGTTTCCTAACTTGTTATAAAGCACTCAGCCTTATATCATAATCCCTGACTGCAGGGTGACTTGCTACTGTCTACCACTGTTTTTGTTATGAAATCTTCTTGAGCATTTTTTTTTTTTTTTGAGCCAACCAGAGATGTCCAGTTCCTAAGACAAAGAGCTGAGAGAAAGGAGGAATATTGCCCTTGGGCTTCCTGGAGTCCCCAGCAGCTGAAAATCCAAGAGGATATGAAGACCAGAGGCCAAGTCTCATTTTCCCACCTGGGCAACTTTTGTCTGTCCAGGGTTATCTCTAATAAGAACAGCTAGATGGCCTCTAGAAATCTCTTCTGGCTCTAAACTGGAGAAATACTTTGATTTTCTAAGATTTCTTAGGATAAAAACTCCTATTATACATTTTTGCCTAGTCTCTTGACCCCGACCCCACCCCATCAAGGGAAAATAACCACAATAGATTATTTTGAAACTTTGGAGTATTTTTAACATAGCCTTTTACCTCACCAAATAAAGGAATTATCTTCACTTTTTAAAAAAATAAAGGAAGAGGATTTTTTAAAAATTCCCAACTTTTTACAAGGTACAGAAATCTTCTCATGGTTTTTAAAAATCATGATGTACATATACTCAAAACACCTAAAGCCATGTAGAAACAGTCCTTCAAAAATGTAACCGTTTCCTTCTAACAAGAGGTATGCACAGGAGAAAAAACCCAAGAAACCCAACAACAAGTGACTTCTAAGAGTCACCTAGGTCACAAAAGCTTGGAAACCAGGATTCTCCCTTTCCACACATACCCATTCACCATACACACCCAGGTTGTAAAGTGAAACTCCTCCGTAATCATTATAGTTTATTAAGCAGTTATCAAATCCAGTACCCCAAACACTAGCCATTCAGAAAACTCATGTATTTCTCTTGGGTGGGAAGATGACTCATAGGGTGTTAATGTTCTAGTGACATAAAGGGAATTGTTAATAAAATGCAGCCTAAGCAAACACCCTTGACCTTTCTCTGGAAAACACCCATAGCAAGAAGTCTAAGAACTTCTTCTTTGATGGACTGTTTGTGTGTGTTGGTGCTACTTAGGAACTTAAGAACCAGGTGTGTTCACTTTCCTCCCTCTGACCTTTACAACAAATGTGCCTGAATTTATTCACATACATAAATTCTATATTAAAATAAAGGTTTCAAAAGCAAATTGCTTCCCTCAGCAGTACCTGACTTCCATTCATATTCAATTTATTTCTATTAGTATTCGAGAGGTCTGAACAAATACACCTATACCTATAGACCCAAAAGTAAAAAACAGAAGAGTGTGATGATTTTTCCCCCCCATACTGGGGACTGAACTCAGGGGACTCACTCGATCACTAGCCACATCACCAGCACAATTTTATGTTTTATTAAGAGACGGGGTCTGAGTTGCTTAGCACCTCGCTTTTGCTGAGGCTGGCTTTGAACTCCTGATCCTCCTGCCTCAGCCTCAGGATCGTTGGGTTTACAGGCATGCGCCACAGCACCCAGCATGTGATAACATTTTTAAAGGTGCCAACAAAAAATTTTAGACCTTTAAAACTTAAAACCAAGCAGATTATGAACTAGATTTTAGAAATTATCAATTTTTTTGTTTTGCTGATTTTATTTTTGCTTTCATATTCATGTTTCATTAAAAAATATATAAGCATTTGCTTCCTATCATTTTTAAAAGAAAAGGCTCCAGAGGTAGAGTATATTAAATTATATTGTCCTATAGTCACCAGATTTTGTTTCCTTAATGAAGACTGGATTTCACATTAAGCTTATATAACATGCTACATTTTACTTGTTGTAACCAAAGAGAACATTCTAGATTTAAAATATTGTATTTTTCCCATATATTTCAAGTTTACAAAATTTTCTTACTTATAATCAAGAAGAAAAAAGGCTATATTCCCTCTTCTTTACCATATATTCAAATGAAAAACCAATTTACAAATATTAAGTCTACCTTTTAAAAAGACTTTGACTAGGACAATAAAAACCACAAAAATTTTAAATGATCTTTATACCTCAATTACTACATTAAGAAGCAAAGAGAATGTGAAACCAAATATACTGTTTTGAAACCATAGTTTTAAAAAAAGTTCTGTTTAAAGTAACTTCATTTGTTTTCTAGGCAGAAAATTACTATTTGTTAAAATAACAAGAAAACAGAAAAAGGTAGAAAGATAGCAGAGAGCCAGTGGGGGAAGGCATGTAGACAAAGATTCTTGCTCAACATAACATTTAAAAGTTAGTAAAACTCACTACAATATTACTGTTTCCAAAGAAGGGACATTAGTCACCTTCACTTGGTGGGTGCACACTCTCTTCTCAGTTCTACCCAGATTGAGCACCCAAGAAAGCACCCAAGAAAGGGAGCAGAGTGAGGGTGGATGAAACTCACCAGGATACCAGGAGGGGCCTTGCCAGGGTAAACAGCTTGAGTTTTACTTAGTAAGCCTTTGTGAACCTTCTCCTCATCTTCACTATCATCTTCTAAGTAAAACATCTTAAAATTGAAGAAGTTTATCAAGCATGTCTTTTTACAAAAATGAAGGTATCATCAAAATAGAAAGCTGCTCTGCTGCTGACAGACTGAACGTTAACTGCTAGCAGACACAGGTATATATGGTTAAAACTGAAAGGAAATGGCTCTTAAAAAAAAAAAAAAAAGCAATGCATACACAACTTTACCAATGAGATTTGCTCAAAACACCTCAACCCCTTCTCTCCAAAGGAGATAAGCAAGGACATGGGACAGGCTGTGCCATGTGTTTACACTGATAGGTACCAAGTCCTGCCCAATCACATGATGGTCACTGCAGCTCCCATCACACAGAACAGGGATTGAGTTAATGATTCCTTAAATCAATCACATCCTCATTTTTAGAAATAAAAACATCTGTACACATGGAGAAGTAATCTTACATAAATTAATCATGTAAGGGAAATCACTTACATATACTTTTTTGAACATTAGTCAAAGTCAGCCAGGTGTATACATGCTTTGTAGAGTCCAACTACTAATTATTTTTATGTCACACTGGCATATGACCCATATTTTTCACAATTCTGGGAAATATCCTGCTCAGTACTGTAAATAACATAATTTATTAGA